ACTGAGCATGTATGTGACAAAATGAGACATTGAGGGGGGAAAAAAAACATAAAGCTAACTGTTGGTAAAACCTAAATAAAATGTCACTTATCTTCTTTTAAATGTGTCCAATTATTATAAGTATAAAATATTTGATGCTATTTGATAAATTTCATAAAGTTTATTTTATTCTCAAACTTATTATGAATTATAATAAGTATCATCCTACTTACCGATCTATTTTATTTTTAGGATGGTATTACAAAAGTGAAGTTCAGGCATAGATAATATTTTTAATTGAATTTATTCAGTTCTTATTTGCTCATAGGTCCTTAATTTTCCCCATTAATGGTCCTTAAAAGCACTTAATTTCCATGTACAGAAATGTGTACGAGCCCTGTTAGTAACAGATAAGGAAGAATTAAATAACAGTTGAGACTCATAGGTGGCCAAGTGAATATGCTCTCCAAACGCCAGTAGTTCTTTTTTAGTTCAATTTCTAGTTAATGGATGGAGTGGAATTAGTAGCCTTTATTAGAAATAGTAGCCTTTGGAAAAATCTCTTTGAAGATCTCTCTCTCCCTCTCTTATACATTGCCTTAATCAGTTGCAGAGTACCAACAAGTGAAGAGCAACTGTAAAATGCTTACAAATGTATTTAGAGATTCAAAAGACCATTCCGACACAACAAATACATCAGCTGTTGCTGATGAATCAGAAGAGGCTATTCCTAGTGTTATAATGAAATGCAGCAGATGACTAACAGTATTACAGTACAATTAGGAAAGAGATTTGAAAGAAATTTTCTCTAATGTGCTAGTTACATTGCAAATCTGTTGGTGCATATCAATATTTATAGCATTGAGAAGATGCAGCTTTGTGAAGTTAAAGTTGAATATTGCTTGTAATCTTCATTAACTGAATGAGGAATAAGAAGTCTTTCTAATACAGCAGCAACAAACAAATTGGACACAGAGAAATTATTCAAAACATTTGCTGTTCAGAAAGCAAAAAACATGATTTATATAAAAAAAAAAAAAAAAAAAAAAAAAAAAACCAGACAGATAAAGTAAAAATTGCATGATTTTACAACTTATGTAATTAATGTTTAAAAACTTCAGTGTAACATGACCAGAAATAATTTTAAATAAAAACCAGACTATTCTTATATATTAGGGGTGGCCAAACTTCATGTCAGTAACAGCTGCATGTCGAAATTCTGGAAAGTTCGAGAGATGCAACAAGATTTCTAAAAGCCACAAATTCATATTTACATTATTTTAAATGCAATTCAATAAAAATGTCTGATTCTAAATAATCATTCAAGGCAGTTTGCCCTCACCATATGATGATGCACTGAAAACAATACAAAGTTTTATGGTGTCTGTTATCTCTAATTATAGCTTGATGGCATAAAACAGGGGCATAGTTAGAGGGGGGGGGCAAGGGGAAATGTCTATTCATGGGTGCAGCATTTAGGATGAGCCAAACTGATGATAAAAAATACTGTTTTTCAGTTTTTAAATACTTTGATTCTTCTAAAATACCTTTCTGTAAATGTTTATCTATCACAGCAACGCTCATGAAACTTCAGATTCTTCTTAAACATGTGCTGCAGTGACAGGAATAATTTTTCTCCTACTTAAAAAAATTAAACCATAATTTCTATCTATGCTTGTTCCATGGCAAGCTTATATCTGCTGCTCACAAATTTTAGATTCTCGAAATATTCTAAGTGATTCATAAAGCCTTCAACTTCCATAAATTTTTTACCAATATGGTCATTGAATCAACTTCTAAATTATTTTTAACTTGTATAAAATTTTGTATGATATTAAATGTTTCTGATGCATTACACGCATTTCCTGTTCTACTAACAAACCACCTCAGTTTAATTTCTACCACTACTAATGATTCAGAAATTTGGCAGACCCTTCCTTTAAAGCATCCATTGATTCATAAGCAAATCTAACTTTTAAAGATTTTGTACACAATTTGATAGAATCTGTAAAATATTTATTATGTGTAATAAATACCTGTAATATATATTATATTATAATATATATATATTTATATTTATAATCTGTAATATATTATTATTTTTTATGTTTTTGAATAACATTATTAAGTTTCTTAAACAAATGAAAATGAAATAAAAATTAAAACTGGATATCAATCAGTTTAAGTTTACTCATAACTTTGTAAATAGAAATGAAATAAATTAATTACTTTCTTTTGGTTATTGAATAGTTTTAGTTTACTACTATATTTCATACTTACTGTTATGACTTTTGTATATATGTAAATAATTTTAGTGAAATTATATGTAAAATTCTAGTATCTCTTGTATAATGTAACAAAAAATGCCTCAAGAGATGAAGCTCTGATAGTAAAAGATTACAGGGGCTAACCGTGAGCTAAATGGTCACCTTGCAAATTGGCAAGAGAAAACTAACGATAGTTTTGGGGCCAAATTTGGCAAAGATTTGGTAACATTTTGGTCCGATCCCTGTACAACCGTAATTTGTCTAATTCCTGTGTAACTGTATCCAGCCCTATACAAAACTGTGATAGTATATACTTTCCAGCAATTTTTAGAAATTAAAGGTACAAGAAACTTCCAGAAGGAAGTTTCACGGGCAGAAGAAAGCTTTATAAGACCAGAGAGAGCATCACATCACAGTTTTTAATTCCAGTTGTACCAGTTGATTTCAGAGTATTGAGAGAGCTTCATGTGAACTCTACTCTTTAGATGTGCTTTGCATTGGGTTGCTTTTAACATTCTTAGTAGTTTGACATGCTAACTACTGCTTGTGGTGTGTTTTACTGAGAAGGGCTATATGAATACTTTTGTGGAAAGTTCCAGAACTATAAAGTATTTTTCGTAGGAAAATAAATTTTATCAAACTGTCATCAGTTCTGTGTGCATTCAATCCAATATGAGCCTGTATGCACGTAACAATACAGTTTATTTGCATAACAGTTGCACCACTAGCCTGTGAGAGGCACATGCAGCTTGCCAGCTGTGCTGTGGTAACCCATTATATATCTTTAAAGATTTGTAACATAATAGTACAAATAAAGAAAGGATTAGAAGCAAAACTATGCTGAAAAATATAGTATATGAAAGAGCTTTTTTTTTTCCTCTATGAGTTTTAAAATTTTCACAGTGAAATTAAGTAAATGTGAGCAATTTTGAATTCATTGAAATTACATTTTAGAATTGTTTTATTGAAATGCTTCATTAAATATTGCATGAGTTTTATAAGATTTTTTAATTTTTTAAAATTCATTGAGTTAAAATTAAGCTATTTAGAAACTTATTAATGTAGAAAAGCATTACAAATGTAAGAGCAATCATTTTTTAAGTGAAATGACTGATATCATTAAATTATGTGATATAATCAAAATAGGCAGTAAAAATAAAATTTTAAAAGGGACCCTATGAAAGGAATTTTATTTACAGCATTACCTTTTGTTCCTCCTTGAACTATTTCTAGTTGCGTTTCGACTTTCGTAAAAGTAATTATTACATAGAACGCAGGGTGGGCAAAATGGAACTGGCCCACAAAAGTGTTTTCATAATTTTATAAAAACATTCCTTAAACAGCAACAAAACCTTTCAAAACTGAGACAGACACAACTGAGTATCAGAAGAGCACACACAGACATGTGACAGTACCTAGCTGTTTCAGTGAGAGGTGCAGACATGTTTAACAATGAGTTAAATGCAACACAAAATGTTGCTAATGATTAAACAGTGCACATTCATTTTTGAGTGTTATGCAAATTACAATTCGTGGAAACTCATGCTTAGGCAGAGCTGCTAGGCATGTCTCACAATTTGATAAATTAAGCACAGTGCTGCATCAACGGTGACAGTGAACATTTCCAGCATTTACTGTAAAAGGCAGTTGTCATGTTCATTTACAAGGGTAAATTTAATGTCAGTATTATTTACATTTTTTAGCCCAATTTTATTTTACTGACTCGCTAGTGTAAAAAAGTATATATTTTCTTCTTTGTCTAGATTTATTACTAAGGACATATAAAATTAAGTAAGTGTATGCGCAAAAAAGAATCCATACATTTGCATATATTTTTACCAAAACTTGGAGAGACTGACACAGGTACCTTATTCTTCTTCTTTTTTTTTTTTTTTTTTGTTTTAAAGTAAAAAAAAAAAAGGGGGGCACATGAGCACTTTTGCGAAGTCCCCCAAATCTCTTAAATCAGCATTGGTAAAAGTGATCTCCCCTGGAACTATTTTGTACACCGAAATGCCTCATATTGAATAATATTTTTAATATTACCTAAAATGTGTAACAAACTTTCAAAACATGACAACACATGCAGTGTGAAGCAGAAAGTTTTAAAATTTATCACTTCAGAAACTATTACCCAAGTCTGTTTCATTGTTACTGCACGCACACTGCTTAAACAGTGAAACTTATACATCCCATATAATATTACAAATAAAATTTTAACCATATTATATGGAAATAAACTAATATAAATATTAGATGAGTAGTGAAGACTGCAAAACTGACATATACTCAAGATTTCATCTGAAAAATAATAATCAGATTATGATTCAAATTTTAGCTCAATCAAAAGTCAATTGTTAAAAGTATATGACAGGTTTATTTTCTCTACGAATCCTATTTTTTTAAAGCAAAAATGAACGCAACTTCTTATGTTCCCAAAAATTTACTTAAAACAAGTCATTTCATGTAATAAAATAACATATTTCAAAGTGACATTAAAGGTGATATTATATACTTATATATATTACTGATATTACATACTTATATAGCAAGAAAAGAAAAAAATTAAAATATTTGTTCACATTTTAATTCATTTTCTGTCTCATTCACATAAATTTAATACAATAAATAAACTGACACAATAAAAAAGTGTGAAAAGTGAAATTTTTGTAATATTTGAAAACGGAATGGGGAAATATGCAATGTATTAGAATATACACTGTATTTCAGCATATAAAAAAGATAATAACAAACCTTGTTCCTGGATCGCTCATACTATGCCCATGGTAACGATATGTTGCAACTTCCATGACTAATGGACCTTTCCCAGTTCGGCAAATATTAGCAGCAAATTCCGTTGCTTCTCTGACAGCCAAAACATCCATTCCATCCACCTGGATGAAATAATGCATTGAAAGATTGTGTTGGTTAAGCAGAATATTATTTTTGAAATAATGTGATGGTTTATTAGTAAACAGACTGTAATAATTCCTAACTTTTCCTATGCAGTGTAAACAGTGTATGCAAATTTAAATTACTGTTTTACTGCAATTACAATATATATTTATGCATGTGAATTTCCCCATGTTTTACTATTGTACTCAAATGTTTGTTATGGTATTCTAATTTTTCAATTTTTATCCCTTTTCCTTTGTAACACTATTTCTTGGAACCAATATAATGAATTTTGTGATAGGTTTTGTTCTTTCTGTAGAAATTCCAATCTACCCCATTCCTCTTCTCAGTAACAAAATATCTGAAGAAAGTTAGGTAACCACTGCCAATTGCTCTCGCATTCCTCCTTTCTGTTATCAGGTTTATGGCTGATTTTACCCTACTAGGCAGTGTGGTATAATTATTTTTTACTTTCTAGATAATGATTTATACACTTTAAGTCTTTTTATTCCCTTAAATTCCTTATACACTGTTAACAAAAGCTAAATATAAAAAAATTTTTACTTGCACTTACCCATATGCCAGGAATGTAATCACCTCTAGTATAGTAATCAGTTGAAGCAGAAGCCCTTTCAACACTTGTGCCCATACCAAATCCATTGTTTTCACATATGAATATAACTGGCAAACTCCATAATTTTGCTATGTTATATGCTTCAAAGACTTGTCCTTGGTTGGCTGCACCATCACCATACAGAGCTAAACATATATCATCACGTCCAAGATACTTCAAAGCAAAAGCTATACCAGCTCCAAGAGGAACCTAATTATTTATAGTTACAATGAATATATGTATAAAATACCAAAACAAGTTTCATTGAAAGTTTTTCAATGAACAATTTCTAATACCAGAACTAGTAATAAATTTTTTCTAATTCTAAATTATATTTATACACAAGTTTCCTAATTATACCTTTATAATTTTCAATTATTTACATAAAAAGAGCATGTTTCAAATTATGCATTATAAGAGAATATGCTTGCATAAATTATGCACAGTTTAAAGTTATACCAGATCATATTTCTTTGCTTTAAATTAAAAAATAAAATGAACTTTTAAAGAGGAAACTTTATGTATGAAAAAAAAAAAATCCAGAAACATTTTAATTTTATGTAATTTATACCAATATGAACCAACTTTGAGTAAAACAAAAAAATTTACTGAGGCCACAGAAGACATAGATTGAATAAATGGGGAGTGAACGTCTTTTTTTTAAAATTTAAATTAATAAAGTTTATACTAGATGCATAAATGAGTTTTTTGAATTGATATTAGCAATGAAAAACAAATATGTTTTTTTTTTTCCTCTGCACTTAACTGAAGCAGCAGATAAATATTTTAGCTCTTTAAGCTTAATTTTATCTTGCATTTCAGCACAAATATACAAGACAACATATGAAATTTTATAAATATGTGGAGTGGGGAAGAAGAGAAGTTCGAGAGAAAATTGGAATTAATCATTCAGTAAGCAAAGCTATAGTTACAAGGACTAAAAAGGTCATGTAAAATCTTAAATATTTATAACTTTATTAGAAGATTAAGCTGTTTTAAATATTATTTTAATTGGCAATCAAGTTACCATAATGATGGTACACATTTTAAAATATAAAATAAAGGTATAAATAACTAATTATGAAACTATATACAAGTTCAAAAGAAAAAGTAAAACATATTTAATCCATATACTGATGACATGCTAAAATTTACAATTTTAAAGAGTTAAAGACCATTTACAATTACATATTATACCAAATTATCAATCATCATAAAATACAGCATTATCAATTAAAATTAATTAATTTTAAATTCTTTTCAGACTCTTGGCACTGACATGGGTTTTAGGCTCTTATTTATATATAATATAATGTCATGAAAGGATAATAAGAGGATGATATAGGAATAAAAATATGAAAATAAAGGGATAAATAAAGATATGCTAGGAATGTTAAAATTTTTAAACTATTTATATAAAAGATATTATAGTCAGTATGTTTTACGATTAGGTGTTTTCCTATGTACCAGGCACTACCTTCATATTATGTATGCTTTTGAAGCAATGTATAGCAATGGCCATAGTGTAGAGCTGCTAATAGTGATATGGAAAGATTTCTAGAACTGACAAACAGGAATTGTTAATAAAGCTTGCACTGTTGCAGAGATAGGCTTTTCTTCTGACTGGAAATGTCTCTTACACAACTGAATAGAAAAAAGCTGCAGAAGATGAGGTCAAGTAAATACTGTAAGGATCCTAAGTTTTACTAATGTTTACTTTATTTTAAGACTGTACTATCACTTCTTATTTTCTACTTCTGGCCAGAATTAAATGCTTTAACTTGCTTATGCAAATTGTTTTGCTAACGCCCAAGATTTAAATTGTGGCTTTTTGCCAAGAGTGAGAGAGAGAAGGAGATTTAGGACGCGAGCCGCTTGCCACTGCAGTCTTACGAGTTTTCATTCGGTTGCTGTTTGCCTTTAAGGCCAGAGGTTTAGCCCTCTCGATATTTGAAAACGTTTGTAGTTTCCGCAGTCGGCGTCTACATACGTACCCTTTAAATAAAGCCAGTCTTAGTGTTAGGCATTTGATACTAATTCAAAGTTAACTTTAGTTAGAGTTTAGATAGGGTTTATATTTTTACATTCGACCACAAGTGGTTGGTCCTGTATCCCGAAGTACAGGAGTACCTGTAAAGTAATAGAGAATAAAGAGTTTAGTATACCCTTCCTGCTTGTGTCATCTATTCCACACAATCTGGAACAGAACTTTAGTAAGTTCCGTGTTCTTATTCAGGATGCAGTATGTTCGCAAAGCAAGTGAAGAGGCATACATCTCCTGACAATACGAGGATATAGCATGAGTGTTATTTCATGTTTCATTAGGCTAAGTTGGTACAAGAGAAGAATGATATTGAGGAGCATTACCCTGAACAAGGCAGAAATTTACATCACCTTAAAGAAATCACAAATTTTTATTTCTTCACAGGTGAAAGACTCTTCAGACACAGAGAATCATGCATATTATGCAGACGGCTACATACTGTTCTCTGCTAACTCAGTAACTCAGTTTGGAATGAATTCCATGATTTCTTTGCCATCAAAATACATCTGCAGTACGATCCTGATTTTTAATCTATTCTGACAGGTAGGCCCCTCCCTCCTTGGAGATGAATACAATTTCCAAATTGCAAATTATGAAGTAAGCACTATGATTGGTTACCAATGACAATGCAGTTTGGAAATATCGGATCACTGAGCACAATGGTAATGAAGTTTCTAGCAGATGATCATCTGCATTTCCTATCAGACATCAATATGTGAGGAACCACTTTCTTAAAGGCATATGCTATGTGGTAGTCATATGTCATGAAGTACAAGAGTTGATATGGCTGATTTATGTCACCTCTGAAATTTCTCCAGTTTGTACACAAATTATCTTCACAGGTAATCTCTTATCTATCCAAGATTCTACTGATGTACTGTACTCAGTTCATGTTGTAAGGAAAATTCCTGTATACATGTTGTAAGGTAAACTGAAATTCCTTACAACACTACTGCTAAGTGAGAAAACATTTATCCTACAGGTTACAGCAAACATGGGCCCTTTGGTACAGAATCAGTGGCATTAACCACTATCCCTTCTGGGCAGCACACTTATAATACAGCAGTATTCATTAGAGAATAAAAAAGGGTACTTCATGATTATCCGCCCAATTTTGAAAAGAATTCACTACATAGTGCAATATGTTGGCAAGCTAGATGATCCATAACATATATTTTCATGGCAACCCAGAAATGTGGTTTTGGGCATTTCCAATTTGAAGGTCAATTTTATGATTAGCGCTTGTTTCGATTACTGTTTGATGAGTATGGGCATTTTTTTTGGGGGGGGGTAAGGAAATGGAATGGAGCTGTAGAGTTTGAAAGCTGATGAAAAAGGAAGCACTGCACTTTTTTTTAAAGAAATATTATGTTTTAGAGAATGCAAAAATTCACATTCCATGAAGCTGTACTTCATTTATTTATTACAAATGCCCAGAAGATTGCCAATGACGCCATTAGTTCTCTAGCCTTCCAATATTTCTGAACTCTACAGTTTAAAAATACAAGTGCAGAGCACAAGTCAAGATGAGTAGTGTGATATCATCCCTTTCTTCATACACCACCTCATAGAGAAATTAATCCACCTTCTTGTATTTTAAACATTTATTGCACACATAAAACTAAATATTAAATTTACACTACTAATAATTTAAATATATACATTAAGTAATACAAATTAATTTCGTTTTCATTTATGAGTTCCACGAGCCTTCCCCTTATCTATGACCTTTCTATAGGTCTCCTTCTTGGAAACTAAACTTTAGGCGCCTCTCAGAGCGAAAGTTAGTGCCCTCGATACATCTTGATGTTTGATGTCACCCATACATCACAAGGCACATCAAAAGTCACCAGGCCTTCCACACGATGCACCCTGGTTAATACTAAATCTGCTATGGCTTTGCCTCCTTCCTTGTGTTTCTGCACATTTTACTGCACTTCATAAATGAGCAAATTTGTGTGTTGATGCCACAATTTTTGCAAGTTTCATATTTTTTTCTTTAAGAGAAAAGAAATACATGGGGAAAAAACAGCATGTGCGATGCTAAATTTATGCAATCCTCAGATTTCCTTTTTAAGCAAAAATCAATCACTGTGCACATGGGATAATGACAGAATATGCAGTGTCATATTTCTGCAACTGTCTGATGTTTTTGAAGCTAAATTCGATTATTGTGTACATGGTAAAAAGAGCAGGGAAAAGTTTTTTTTATTATGGATTAAGTGTTTTTATCATGGATTTCTTTATGTATACTTTTAATTTTGTTAATTAGTTGCTACTTTATGTAATTTTTATTGTGCCACCATTTTTGAAAATGGCTGTTGTTTATCACATGCTAGGTTGGTGAAAAATTAAGTTCTTTTAAAAAGTAAAGGAAAGCCAAGAATTTCTTTTACTTTTTGGAATTACTGGGTGGATTAAAAAGAAACACCAAAAGAAGTTCTTCCATGAAAACAAATTTTAAATAAGCTCTTGTGTATATGAAACATTATTATTCTGAGAACTACTTCTCGTCATACAGAATAAATCAGCAAGGGAAACTTAACATATAATAATATAAAAATATCTTCTATAATAAAATTTACCTGAGCTCCTACAATGCCATTTCCTCCATAGAAGTTATAGTTATACATATGCATAGATCCACCTTTACCTTTTGCACAACCTGGTTCTCTTCCTAAGAAAATTACATAACATTTTAACATAATTTAGTAAAATGTGTAGCTGATTAACTAAAAAATTCTCATTTCAGATTTCAGCTACACATATCCAAAAGTAATTGATTAATTAGTTAGAGCTTATTTGTTCAGTTAATTATTTATTATCAATTAAAGTTTTAACTTCTGTTAATTAAGTGGTTTCTTTGAATGTCAGTACTTGCCTGTACTATAGCCTGTTACTTTAAAACAGGAACTTCACGGTTATTTGCCACTGTCTGATTTAAATCATAACGACAGGAACAAATGCTGCAGAAAAAAGGTTGTCTTGATTAATCCTCCCCCCTCCACATTCCAGTTCCATTTAGCATGTTTTGTTTCATGAAGAGCATGTGAATGAAGGCTGAACTGAACTACAGTCTCAAATGCGATGGAGAAAATAAATGCTTTACGATGATAATGACACGAGTTATTGCAAAATGGAGGGCTGGCAATAGTCTTGAATTGTTGATTTTAAAGTAAAAGACTACAGCCATCAGTGTTTTCATTTGAGAGATACAGGCATCTTGAAGTAATTTTTGAGCATTATTCAAAATTAAAGGAACAATATTTAATTAATTTGAAATTATCTACAGTATGCAAAACATTATGAGGTCATTTTAAAGTAAAAGACTTGTTGTTTTCATTTGTAGCAAAAGCATTGGCTTTCTCTTGCCTTTTTGAGCTGTATTGTTAAGGAACAATTTGACAGGCATAAGTAATTTTTGAGCATATTCAAATAAAACAAATAATAATTTATCAATTTGAAATTTATCATATGCAAAAGCATTTTGCTCTTCTGGTGAATTTGAAACTTTTAAACTGATTAAGAAAGAAATTATTTAAATTAAGTACATTTTTATTACAAATGGCTAAGATTATTTGAAAGTTAACTTTCTGATGTAGCTGTAAGCATCTTCACTAAAAACTTGTCAGGTGTTTTACCATGTCTAGTTCCATCTCCATGGCTCAAGAGTAAGAAATTTTTTTTGGGGGGGGAGTTACACTGTTATTTGTCTTTGCATGGCATTAAAAATGGAGGGGTTGAAATTCATGGAAGAGAAACTGAATTTTCTACATTTGTTTGTATTTTGCATAGGTGTTTAAAGTGTCTTGTAGTGTTAGAAGGTCAACTGATTTTAACTTCTAAATAATCTAGCCCCTTTCAGTGGCACTTTCTTGAATCAGAGGCATCATGAGCATATCTGCCAAGAGACTCTAAATGTTCTTTAGTGACTACCACAGTTGCTAATTAATAGTCATATTCTTCTTAACAGTAGTTTTGTCTTAAACATTTACTGCAGAATGAACGTCAGGTTGTCCAAGCAATTTCATCTCTGAGAAGAGGATCTTATTTTCCTTTATTTTATTATTACATAATAATTACAACTATAATATAATTATAATTGCAGCTATAATTAAATTTATCAGTACTTTATGTTGAGGGAGAGATTATTTTCCCTTAATGATACAAAATACTGCCCTTGAAAAATAAAGTTTCTTGGAAACAGACAGACAAGATGAATTGAAACAATCTAGTAACAGCCTTTGGCAAATGCTACCAATGCATGAAATATAAGATCTTAAATGAAACCTCCATGTGCCCTTGCGCACAGCAATTTCTCAGATTACTGTAATTTGGAAAAGCACAAGAATTTTAACTTATCTTTAAAATTTAAGCTATCAGTTATTGACTGAGCACAGTTGATACTTTATTATTGTTACTTATGAGGTTAATTTTAATGTCCTAACCCATTATTTTAAGTTAAATCACTTTTTTTTTTATCAAGCCTCGTTTCATTTCCCTGCCAGAATGTAAATTTTTAGCACATGATATTCAATTTACGAAGAAGGAAGGAAGTACTTAAACGAAAGTACTTTGGAGGGTGAAATAATCAGAGTATGTTCTGCCTGCTTGAAAGCTACGTTGCTACTTTGATTCTCTCAGTTTAGAATTCTGCTGCAGTCCGAGTTACTCTTGCCATTAGGCTTGCTTACGCCAACTTTGGAAATAGCCAGCTTGCACTCTAGTTATACTGTGAAGCTGTCAGATTACCCACAAACTTCATTAATTTTAGGTTATCCATTATTTTTGATTTAAGCTGAAAGTGCTGGCTTCTATAAGCATGAGTTGACCATCTGTTAAACTTATTTGGATTAATAAAAGAGTCCTTTACTCCCTTTCCCTGTGGTATTCACTAGTTGTCTTTTAGAGGTTCGGTCTAATTGTGTGCTCCTGAAGAAAACCAGACCCTATATACTTTATAATTAAAGCTATAATTAATTCAACTATAACTACAGTTACAACATAATGGCATTTAAATTTATGATATAAATGCAAAAGTAATTAAATCTTTGGCTTAATACAAACTAAGCAGTTAAAATTCTTTTTGAACAGCAGTAGACTGATTTGGGTTTGAATTCTGGCAAAGCACCTGGATGTTTGCATATCTTTATGGTTTTCAAATGTGTAACCAAGAATACAAACCATTTTCCCATACTTCCATAAAGTCCTCTACCATGTAAAAAAACAAACTTATACTTTTGCTTAACAAATTTACTCATATTTATTTTTATACAAAATATTTTTTGCATAAACGATCTGCATGGGCAGGAAACCTGCCTTAGCTATATGCTCTGAATTTAATCAATTAATATTAGTAAAATCTAGCAGCAGCTTTTATTGTTTTTGCATTGCGTTGTGAAAATACTAAAACTTGAAATACTGGCAACAACCTGGATTAGCAAGAGTATTTTGTGGTAACTAAAACAAATCAAATCATCAACAAGGCTGACATAACAACACAGAATTAATTTAATTCTAACAAAATTGTTTATTTTACGATTGCTATAAAGTAAAAGAGATAATAAAACATCCTATGTGATGATTTTTTTTTGGGGGGGGGAACTTCAATACTATTTTATGAAAAAGATTCATAAATTTTTCAGCCTTACTGTTAATACGAATTTTTTTCCCCTTTTACACAAAGATCACTTAAAAGTTTAATTTATTATAGATAATTAACTGAGCAATTAGACTATTAAAAACTCATTAAAAGCTTAATTAATAATTACTGTTGGGTATGTGTAACCAACATTTAAAATAATATTTAATTGAATTAACAACATAACAAATTTCTTTTAAAAAATTTATAAAAACTAGTATTTTTATTTTATGTTTAACACTGGCATAAATCAATGTCTTTCAATATTTATACATGATGAAAGATTATGATTAAGGAGACAGTGAAAAGAATAAGGGTCCTGGTATACTATCAATGGCTCATTTTGTTGATTTACACAATGATGATGATGATATTTTAGTGAAGGGATCAAGATCTTTATAATTTACCAAACTTTAATGAGGCTTTATAAAAAGTTTAAATAAAGAAATAAAAATTTTCATACCCGTTAATTCACACAAAACACCTTTCACACTAACACCTCTCAGATAAGTCCAACCATGAGCCCTGTAAGAAGTAATAACAGCATCTGACTTCCGGATAGCAGCTTCCATTCCCACGGCACATGCTTCCTACGTGTAACAGATATCCTAAAAGTTACTTTTTACAAGCACATAAAAGTACATATGTGAAAACAAAATTTTCCTCCTATCATATATGTAATCAACTCAAGTGAAAAGATAAGTTAAAGACAATCTGAAACTTTTTGTACATTATAATAATATTTTAAAATATACTCTTTTTAGATATACAAGTATTTCAGAGATATCTTTTGTTTAACAACAAAAGCTTCAAAATAGAATAATCACCCTAAAAAAAAATTAAAAAAACAATTCAAAAGGTTCACAAAGATTATAAATAGAAGTTTTAAGGCACAATACTCACAAATGTAATTGAAACTGAAGAAGGCAAAATCAGACCTTTCTTATAACATGGTATTAATTTCACATGATTACGTTCTAATCACAAAACTCACAAAATCAATATTTCATATAATTTTTTTAATGCTGAATAAGAAATATTTAATTTCATTGTTGAACTTGCATAGGGCTGCATATTACTTTAAGTTAAATATTAATTAATTTTATTAATTAAATGTATGGTACATTTTACCAATACATTTAATTAATATTTAACTTAAGGTAATATGCAGCCCTATGCAAGTTTCAGCTTTAATCAACATTAAATGATTTTGTTGACATTTATTGAAATTACTACAAAGTTTTTCAATCAAGTCATCAATGAATTTTGAGAGATTTTTTAAGCATTTACTTCTTTATTCCTTAAATTTTTTCAATCTATTTATATGTTCATTTCACATTCAAAAAATTAATTTTCTTTTCTTTTTGATCGATGTAAAACATACATTTTTGACAGCTGTAAAATATTGCAAGTTTCTTCAAAAAATATTGCTTTTCAAAATGCTCTTATAATAATATATATCTAAGAGATATTTTTAGTCATTTTTTATTTTAATTTTCATATTCACACTTTGGGAAATACACGAAAAGTAATTAGAGAGCACCTACAAACATGTATTTGACAAAATTATGACTACCAGATTTCCAGTCAAATTTCTGCAATTTCATGTATGTTACCTTTGTCACATGATGGCAAACATTGTCATGATGGATTCTTCACCCTCATTACTAATTAGAGCAAGGCATTTGTCTAGAAAGGTAGCCCATAGTTTTTCCTTCCAGTGCTAATAGGAGTTATGTTATCCACCAAGATCATTAGACTTAATGCCAATAATAAACAATATCATATAATATTATTTTCTAGGAGTGACTCTGTGAATAACATACAACTTCACTTTTTCTGCGAGTGCAACTCTTGTTTTGCTAATGTTCCTAAAGTACGTCTTTAGGTACCTATAATGTTATAAAACGATAAATTCAAAAGAGGAGAAAATTTACTTTAATCCTATTAAATTTTAATCTTAACCATAGTGTACAGCTCACATAAAATTAAAAAAAATGTCACATTCCTTTCCAAGCTTTATGTACTGCAGATAGTATCAGGATAAAGTTAAAATTTTATAGATGGTGTATTCTCAAGTGGGTTTATCAAATTCCTTCTGTGCCAGAAAAAGTCAGTTGGAAGAAATTGATGTTTTTACTTATTGAACAGCAATACAATGAAACCCCAGCTGACTAATTTAATTTGTTCCTGAAAGGCATTCATGAACTGAAATGTTCATAAATAGAAACAGTTATTCTCATAGGAATTAATGTAAAATGGATTAATTTGTTCTTGGATCACAGATAATTATTTTAATTTTAAAACAGTACTTTGTATAGTTGTGCACAGTTCAAACCCATTCGAAATATATATATATAAGGTACCTTATATATATATATATAAGGTACCTTAGATATATATATATAAGACACAATATAACAGATAAATAGTGAAAACTTAATTTTAATACTTCGTCCTAAGTGCACTTGATTCTAAGACTCCAGTTTGCTTCAAAATACATTACTTTTAAAAAGTAAATGAAATAAGACAAAAAGCTTCGTTTAACTAGAGAATAGGCTACCATGTAAGGATCTAAGTTTTACTAACGTTTATTTTATTTTAAATCTTTACTATCACTTCTTATTTTCTACTTCCGGCCAGAATTATAAGCGTGAAGGAGTTTATGCAAAGTTGTCTGGCGAACGCCAAGTATTTAAGTGTGGCCTTTTTGCCAAGCAGAAGAGAGGAAGCCGTGAGTTCGAAGCAGGCCGCTTACCTTAGAAGTTACGCAGTTGCTACTTTGCCTTCCAGGCCAGAGGTTTTAATCCTCTTGATAAATTAAACGTATTGTAGTGTTCACAGTCTCTGTGCTACATACGCTTTCCTGTTATTATAAGGCCAATCTTATTCTAAAGTTAAATTAGAGTTTAGTTTTATTTTGATATCTTTTAAGTTAGACCCCGAGTGGAGGGTCATTGTATTCCGAAGTACGGAAGTCATTGTATATAAAGAAAAAATAAAGGGTTTTGTATACCCTTCGTCTGTATCCTGTCTACTTACTACAATTAGTGAACATAGCTTTAGTAAGCTCTCTGTTCTAGTCAGGTCATTGTATGTTTCCGAAGAAGGTTAGAAGAAACATTGAACCTGATAGTGGCGCCCGACGAAGAATAACCATGGCCGAGTTTCAAGAAGAACCTGTGCTGCCTGCAGAAACAGCTCAGAATCCAGAAATGCCAGCTGCCGCCCTGGAAGGATTTGGGTATATTGTCCAGACCATGCGCGCTTCGATGAAATGAAACCAGAAGCAACGTTTAATGGAAACTCACAGGTAACCAGTTTTTTGGAAAAATTGGATGACCACTTCATGCTCTACCCCGTGCACGAGTTTCAAAAAGTTACCTTAGCTACCAGCGCTTTGAGGGGCCAAGCGCTTAACTGGTTCAAATGTATCGGCAGAAGTCTCTTGGGTCAAGCAGGAAGTCCCACCTATACCTACGAAAATTTCAAGACTGCCCTACTAAAAGCCTTCCCTGTTGTAAGGGATCGTGCGAAATTAGAAACAGAACTTTTCAGTATATATCAACAAAGAATGGAAAACCTCTCGAGCTTTATTTTAAGAAAAATTCACGTTTTCAAGCTCTTGTATGGAAACCGTCCGGATCCTGAAATAATTCAAGTGATTTTGCCGAGGTTACTACCCCAAGTGCAAGACTTTATTGAATTGAGAAATCCGACTACACTGGAAAAATTATTTGAGCTAGCAATCCAGTTTGAAAGTAGAAGAACGGCGGACGTCGAAAGAAGACGCCAATATCAACAGCGAAACCAATTTGGTACGCCAAGACTACAGCAAACTCAAGCACATGGCTACGGAGAAAAAAAGCGAATCAGTGGGCAAGGAAACCCGAGCATTCAAAAACAGCCGGCGAACGTCGACAGTTCAATAGCAACCCAGGAAAAAAGTCTCAAGGCCAGTGGAGAAAGAAGGAAAGCACCGAAAGGAAAAATAATTTAAACTAAAACGGATTTCTGCTGACGAGAGGGTGCGGAAATCCGAAGGCCACGAAAACCCCTCTTCCTACAAGTTAAATACAGTAATGGTGAAAAATTTAACTCTTCCGAAGATTGAAGTCTTGGTAAATAATATCCCGGCCACCGCACTCCTGGATACCGGCGCGCAGTGTTCCTGTGTGGCAGAAGTCTTTTTTAGAAAGTATTTTCGCAAATACCGCATATATAATGCGGATAATACAACAGTATTAGCGGCGCAAGGAGAACAATGTAAGTGCGTAGGTAAAGTACCTTTGTACATCCGTATCAAGGACGAACAAGTAAAGGTGATGTTTTTTATAGTAAAGAATTTGCAAGCACACTTAATACTAGGAATAGACTTTCTTTCAGACGCACAAGCTACACTGGATTTTAATGAAGCGTCTCTTAAGCTGACGATGAAACCAGTGCGTGTGTAGAAAAGGTTGAACCGCCAAGGTTAAATCTCGACCACCTGCCTAATGACGAGCAAGATAGAATCCGACAAGTGGTAAGTGAATTTGCTTCCTTATTTAGTGATATTCCAGGATTTACCCAGGTTACTAACCATAGTATTGACACCGGAGATGCATTGCCGGTTCGTCAAAAACAAAAACCATACCGGTATGATAAGAATAAGAATAAGGAAAAAATTATAGAATGGCATATTACCGATATGCTACGTAAAAAGATCGTAACGCCTATCTCAAGTAGTTATGCTAGTCCGGTGGTTTTATGTAAGAAAAATAATGATTATCCTTTGGAGCATCCAAAAAGGTGGAGATTCGCTATTGATTACCGTAAATTAAATTCCATAACGAAATATCCGGTATATCCGTTACCGATTATAGAAGAAATTTTAAGGAACATAAAATCAACCAAATTTATGACAACTTTAGACTTAACGAATGGTTATTTTCAAATAGGGATCAGGCCTGAGGACGTGCCTAAGACTGCTTTTATAACCAAGTCTGGCACTTATGCATTTTTGCGAATGCCGTTTGGCCTTTCAGGCGCCCCCAGCAACATTTCAGCGATGCATGGACATTGTGTTAAGACCTGTTCTCGGAAAGTCCACATTTATCTATTTAGACGATATCATTATTACTAGTGATAATCTAGACCAACATGTACAGGATTTAAGACAGGTGTTTTCTTTATTAAATGAGGCCGGTCTAAAAGTTAATGTCGAAAAATGCAAATTTGCAGCCCCTGAATTAAAATATTTAGGTTACAAAATATCGCAAAAAGGGATCGAGACAGATGAATCAAAAATAATCGCTGTACAAAAGTATCCGACTCCAAACACGGCAAAGAAGCTCTCTTCTTTTCTAGGACTTTGTTCATATTATAGGTCCTTTATAAAAGATTTTGCGGCTATCGCTGAGCCATTGTTAAAATTAAAAAGGAAAAAAAAAGGCAAGATTCTCGTGGACGGCCGAAGCCAATAGTGCTTTCGAAAAATTAAAACAAGCATTAACGCAAGCCCCTGTGTTGAAATTTCCTGAAAAGGATGAAAATTTAGAAATTTCAGCGGATGCTTCGGATTATGCGGTAGGAGCGGTACTTTCGCAAA